TTAATAAATAATAATATGTTACCATACATAATTTATAAATACATAATTTTCGGGGCTAGATTTTTCCATTTAACTTTTGCTGTTCACGTTTCACGGTTTGGAAATGTTCCGAATGCAGCTGCACGAATTATTTGTTAAATCCCAGCGAGTAAGAGGAACAGAGAAAGAGGGAGAGAGAGAGAGAGAGGGAGATGGGGAGCAAAAACTAATGCCAGATAAATCCAGGGATTTTCGCGTAAGTTCGTAAATCGAAATGTCCTCATTGCAAGCGCGAGCTGGAGTGGGATTTGTGGCAGATTCGCTGACCAGTTGCTCGCATGCCGCTCGATGACAGGCCGCGCTTAGATGGACAAGCGGGACGAGGGCTGACTGGCCTGATCTTGAAGCATTTAGCATACACAAAGGCCTGCTTAGCCAGAGCATAGCTGCTGAGATATTAATGCCACGACTAAATGCCGGCTAGCGGCAGCACAAAGGGAGGCCTTTTGGAATCACTTAGTCTGGTGAACAGCGCCAGCTGGGGACTGGCTGGTCCAACAGGCCGCATCCATTGCAGAGCTGCAATAATTGAGTTCTCGTGTTGACAAAACCTTTAAAGGAGTCGGCCCACACCACAGGGCGCTTCACTTCACACACATGCCAGCCATAACAATCACAATTCCAATCAGCACCACATCAATGTCTGCTCTGGCTCTGTGCAGGCCAGGTGGGCCAGGCGGGCACCAGGAGCTGGTCGCAGCTTAAATTTGTCGGGCCACAAACGCCGCGACGTCGAGGCCTGCAGCGCCTGCAGATATGCCGAACATCCTGTAACAGTCGACTCGTTTTTTGTTCTCCGACTCTCCGTCAGCGGCTGCCTGAAGCGGGGCTGTCATGTTCTGCCAGGTGCTTGCTAAGGGAGCAATCAGCTCAAGCGACGAGCTGCTCCGCAAATCTATGCCAAGGACATGACAGGCAAAATTGTTTTGGCGGTCGCTTATTGTCTCGCTCTCCCTCTCTCTGTCTCTTTGCACGCGCTTTGTGGCTTTGTTATTGTGTGTTTGTATGTGAGTGTGTGTGTGTGTGTGCAATCAAAAAATGCTTTAATTTAGACATTTTCAACTTTTATTTGCAACAGCTGCCTTAAATATAGTTGTAAACTCTTGAAAGCAACAAGGTCGCTTCTTTTTTATTTTTCATCAGCTTTATGTATGTATATATATATTATATTTATGTAAATTTTGTTGTCAAGCGCAGATATTTTGTTTTGCTTCTATTTTGGTTGACTGTTTGTTGCCTAACACAATTTGCAAATCCGAACTTTTTATGCTGAATGCAATTATTATCCATTTACAATGCACTCGATGCAAAATGGATGCAGACGCGCCAGCTGCAGGAGTCGGCGATGAACGACTAGAAAATACCTGCACCAGCCGCACGTCGACGATGTCTATAATATCCAATGGGATTCGAGCGCTACTCGAACTCATTTCAAGTGCCGATTCTATCTATCTAGTATATCTTAATCTACTGAAGCTGTCAGCTCTGTCCTTAACTAGGCTATGGCTGTGGGTTAGGGTATCGAAAGTGTAGCAGCTTGAATGGGACGCGCAAGCAGACAAGTAAATAAAATTCGAAATAAAGAAAAAAAAAAATGCTGAAATGCGAAAGAAATGCACGGTACATATTTTACATTTATTCATTCAGCGCTGGAGCAGCAACCAGACGAGCTGAAGCGAGGCGAGCCAGGACACTCTCTGTGTCTGTCTGTGTGTGTGTGTGTGTGTCGACTCCTCATGTTCGCTGCTGCTGCTGCTGCTGCTGCTGCGTCGTGCTGGTAAGCCGAGCGTTAATAACAACGCTTATCTGTGGCATTAGCAGCGTACACAGCAATAGCAATAGCAGCGGCGTCTAAAAAAAGCGATGATAATGAAAAACTGAAATAAAAGCGCAACAACAGCCGTATAGCAAACAAAACAGAACACAACTGAGGGGCGGTAGGGGTGGCAGGGGCGCTGGCAGTGAACTGGGGGTGTCTGGGAGTTGACTGTATAAGTAATTCAAGCTGCTGTTGCCGCGAACGCTGCTGGCGTGACAACGCCAACTGACAGTCGCAGCGGAGCAGCCAGCGCAGCCAGCGCAGCGCAGCGCCATCATCCATTATCAGCAGTTGGCCATCTTAAAGTGCAGCAAAGCAGCAAAAACAACTCAGGAAGCGAGCGCAGGACGCAAACAAACCCAAAGGCAACAACAACAACAAAAGCTACAGACAAAAAGCCAACATACAAAAAGAGTTGGACAACGGGCGGTCTCACTGAACGGAACAAAAATACACAATAAACAAAAAGAACAACTGAAAAAAAAGAGAGTAAAAAGCGGACAGCAGAAATGTCGCATTGTTTTAATGCATTTGGCGCAGCGCCGCTGCTGCCGCTGCTGCTGCTGCTGCTGCTGCTGATGTTTGATGCGTGTTGCGACGGAGCTCACACTGCGTATGGGTAATATAGCGTCAGACCACAGATGGCAACGCCCGCGGCTGAGGCTCTGTCACATTACGTATACGCCGCATGCTGCATGGCATTCGGGTCGCTGGCAGCGCAGCCTGATTGCTGTTATTTCTGTTGCTGCTGCTGCTGCTGCTGCTGTTCCTGTTGTTGTTGCTGGCTGTAGTGGTGGCTCGGCTTATGCGCCTCGCTTGTAGCAAACTGCCCGGGAGAATCCTTCACTGTGAACGTCACATAGTAGCGTTTATTGCTGTCCAACTTATTTGCTGGCAGTGAAATTAGCTGCTTGCTCTTGCCGTGTGACAGCTCGAGAGCAACTTTGTGGCTGCACTTGCCGCTGCCGCCGAAGCCGACATCGACGCCGACGCCCACGTCCATGCCGGCAGCGGCGCGTCCGCTCGAGGCGCGGCCAGTGGTCAGAATTTTTGGCAAATAAAAACTGCTAACGCTGCCGGCCTTTTTGTACGGTCCAAAGCCAAACTTGGGCATCGTGTGGTGATTCATCATTGGAACTGCCAGACACATAGAGAGA